TATTTCATCTGAAAAGTTCTATATCTCCACAGAAGGCAGCTAGCTGAAATGCATCTTAAAAATAATGGTCTGATATTCAAATGTGTCTCTTTCCATGAAAGGAGCTAATGCCCCAGGGTCATACCCAATAAAACATTTAGACACTCAAAGCTTGATGCTGCAACACCTGTTAGGTGGCTGGTGTCCCGCTAGATGCAGAGGAAACATTAAATGTGTCAGAATGATATCCAAGCAGTCTGCAAGGAGAGTATAAAAGGCAACAAGAAAATGTGACATAAATATATTGCAAGAAATATGAAGAACAGGAAAAAAGAGGTCCGTTTCTTGCTGAGAATGTGGAGAAGGCTGAAATATTCAGTGCTTTCTTTGTATCAGTCTTCACTGAGATGTTCAGAAGGACCACAAACTTACTACATCTAGTTCAACAGAGAGAAATTAGTATAAACCAGAATAAGGAGAAAACTGCTTAAAGCATACTTAGAGTCAAGTCAGCTTAACCTGCTGATGTTCATGTACACTCAATGACTAAGAGAAAGTCTTTTCTAGACTATTAGTAATTGTGTCCAAGAATTCATGGAGGACAAGAAAGTTAAATAATAGAGAAAAGTTCCTTTAACTTTCATTTTCGTAAATAATCTGCAATGAGTTATCAAAAAGTTGAAAAAATCCACCAACATGTTGATTGTGGAGAGCAAATCTTGTCATATCAGTCTAATTTTCATTTCTTACTTCTGATTTTCATTTTGATTTCCTTATGGAAAAAGAGGAAGGAGAACGTATGAGCATCTTTCACCTTTCAACACCTCCTTGTATGAAATTCACAGAAACAGAACAGGGCAATAGGCTTTAGAATGGGACCATTGTAATGTGGTTACTGAAAATAATCCCTCTCAAAGGCTGCTCTGAATGATTTGCTCCTGAATAGTAATTACAAGTGTGAAATTACAAGTGTGGTTCTGAGGGGTCTGGCATGAAAACAGCTCAACTCAATAATTTTATTAATAATTGGAGACCTGTTGATAAATCCTAAAATAAAATTTGCTGATGCGAAGATGTCACTGTACACAGGGGGTTTAAAAGGACTTTGAGAAGCTGATTGATTTCAAAATGAAAATTTCATACTAAAGCAGTCAATCTGATAAAATTCACTGAGGTGCACTGTGCTTGGTTTAGGGCAGAGAAACCAGATGCACAATGTAAAATGAGGGATAACTGCCTAGGCAGGACTGCTGAGGATAATCTCAGAACCTAACCTAACTGTGAGTCGCAAATCTGATGTGTTACAGAAAGGCAAAGGTCTCATTCTGGGAACATTGTTAATAAGTGTTTCTCCCATGTGGGATGAATGTTATCACTTTGATCTGTTCTGCCTACCCCCACCTTAGTAATATCTCCAGTTTGGAGACTGTGGACAGACTGGAAGGATCCAGAAGAAAAGTATAGAGAAATGTCATGCGAGCTGTAAAACTGCGGGAATCAACTTTTGATCCTGTAAAGAGAGTAGTGAGGATCCCATATCCTAGGCACTGGGTTCTTTTTGGACCTGTTTCTATGCTTACCATTACCTCTGGCTTCACCTCAGTGCATCTTCAATATGTTGGGATATCTAAGCTTCTCTTAAGCAATCACTGAATTTTAAAAAGACAGAAATAGCCCCACGGTATCTAAAAATCTATTCCACAATAGAAAAAAGGAGCAAGTGAGCACGTTTGAATGCCTGGACGGAGAGAAAGCATACAGCCTAGTTTCCTCCCATATCAGACATCAGAGAATCTACATTAGCAAGGGGAAGGAAGGGAAGACTATAAATGTTTAACTGCAGCAAAAATAAGAATAGGAATTTGTATGTTATTAGCCAGATGGGGAACCACTCCTCAGTCAAGGTTTTCCCTCTTGTATGAATTCCCCAGATATGGGTGTAAAGTCTAATTGAAAGTTTTCCCAGGGTAAGAGTGTTGGCAACTATTTCTCTTCTGTGTTGTTTTTCTTATCTAATCAGGGCTGGGCTTGTGCTGCAAAGGCAGTGTAATTCAGTTATGCAGCCGTCGGCCACAGGACACAAATGCATGGAACACAATTAACCCGCCGCTCCTCCAACTCTTCATTTTAACTCTGCTCTCACACCGCCTGATATAAATTTAAGTGTACCTAATTTTCGCAGACTTGTTTCTCTCCCCTCCTTTGGTCACATAGCCAAGATGCTGGCCTTTTTTAAGCTTTCCCAAGTTATTTGCACATAAGATTTTATATGAAAAGCAGGAACTATCAAATCAGCTAGATGCTGCCTACAGAGAAAAAAGTATTTTAATCCGCTGAAATACAGAAAAGGTTACATTAATACAAGAGAGTTCCTGCATATTGACCAATGAGAACAGAAGAAAGGCAAACAGCAAGGGAAAAACATGACATTAGCTTAACCTTTTTACATATTAAACTGTATTAAAATCTCTTTCTGTCTTTCTGCTCTGGGGTGCAGAGGATTTTATCTGAAGGGCTGTGCCTGCTCCAAACAGCTTTCATCAGGACTCATTTTAATGGCTATTTATCAAGGAGTGTTAAAAACACCTCCTTCATTTCATCTAATCTGGCACTTCTTCTCTCCAAACATGCTAACAAGATCATTTTAAAGACCTTCTGCAAAACATGGTCTACCCAAGCAACATGACACAAAAAAGAGCTGTCTTTAATGCTCTGGAAAACCTGAGTTTACTTTTACAGGTTTTCTACCAGGGTTTAATTGTTTCATGACATTTAGAAACAGGTTTTCCCAAACTGGTTGAATTTGGTCTGTCTTTGGCCTGAGTAGTGTCCTTGTGGGGATGCTACAACTCCATCTTATGTCTGTGCTACAAAAGCGGTAAAAGAGATTTTCCATTTTTGATCTGAGTGCGTAGAGCTACTACATCCTACCAAGCGTTCCCCAAGCCAGGGTGATGCAAACAGCCCTGCAGGGCCAAACCCAGGGAAAACCTCACCCCAATCCAGAGAGCACATGTGCTGGGTGGCACTGGGGCCTGGAGGACATCAGAAGTGTCTAAAAATGTATACTGCATGGTGCAACCAAACACATTCCTCCTAACAGAGAAAATCCACTAAGGAAGAAATTTGCACTGCAAAAATAAGGCCTTAATGCACAAAATAATCCTGATTTTTTCCGCTGCTGCTCAGTCTGCAGCATTTACAAAGTGAGATAGCAAGGCTGAGAGATTTTATTCAGATCAACGGCTTTTTAGTTAAGTAAGGTACGGGCATAGATTGCGTACAGGATCCTGGGAGAGTTCTTAAAATAGGCTGCAACTCCTATTGACAAGGTATGAATTCCTATTGAGAAACACTGCCATAGTGCTTTTAGTGGCATTCTTTCTGTCTCTGAACAAAAATAGGGACTAGATAACTTCTTAACATTGCTTCTACTTTTCTTTGATGCATTTCATATTATGCACGTTTATTTGCTAAATACTGTATTTCAGTCTAAGGGAGGAAGAAAAGCCTCTGAAGGGTTACACTTTCAGTTGACAGAAATACAGTGGTAGCAAAGAAAACGCACAAAACAGAAAACATTTCAATGTCCAAGGCCAGCAAAGAGCTGGTTTTGTCAAGACAGGGTTGTAAGAGGAAAAGGAAGTGCCCATCACCTTGAAATGTGTATAGCCTCCTTAAAACCCTCTCTAGGATGCATGCAGCATTGTTATTTTAGTGTAGTGGATGTGCCCGGTGAGGCAGACGTAGATGCAGACCGAGGCAGGCCTGATCCTGCCGAGCAGATGTACTCCTCTGGCACGGATAATCGAGTTTGCTGAACCCACTCAACCGAGACCCGCACGCACGCCTCTGGGCTGCCCATCACCTGGACCTGCAGAGTGGGTCCAGCGCCAGGAGGTCAGCCCCCATCCTGGGCTTCACCTGGGGTGCCCCTGCGACGGGGCTGGCAGGCGTCTGCAGTGCAGCTGCAAAACATGAACTCCAAAGGCCGTGGTGTTGCTCACACGAGGCTCAGGCATCGCCTCACTGTGTTGCTCGGTTAACTGTCTCACAAAATAAGTGGGTGGCTGTGGCACTGCAGCACCAAACAAGCTGTACAGCTGCTGTTTACTACGTGTGCTGTCTGCTGTGCCGACCGGGCACAGCAGAAAGCAATCACCCCTCTGTTCATTGAGAAGGTTTCCAGCATCAAAAGCTGGCTCTTCTCATGGACAACCAAAACATCCCGTTGGGAGGCAAGGCTGGGAGGGAGATTGGGGTGGATGGATATCAGTGCCCCATTTTACAGCTGTAGAAGTAGAGGCAGAAAAATAATAATGAAGCTAACTCTGACTCGAAAGGCAGCCGGGAGATGATTTGCAGAAATCTGTAATTAGAGCCTTGGAGTCTGCCGCTCTAACTAGATGGGTCAGCCAAGGGCTGTGCTTACTCCAAGCAGAAATCTTCTGTGGATAAATAGTTCAAAGTATGCTCTTGTAAGGACTCAAGCAAATGTGTGTGATCTGTGCCATAGCCAACAACTTTTCTTTGTTTAATAGTTTGCTTCGTAACAGCTCTTAATTTGGTGTGCAACTTTCCTACCAAGATTTGGATATTCAAATGATGGATCTTTGTATTTGTGCTTTGAACCTCTTTTTTCTCTATGAAAACAGCAAGTTAAATGCAGCAAAGGGTCTGTACAACACTACAAGTTAAAGTGCAGGACAGATAATATTTCCAGGGATTCCAACATATCAAGTGATTAAAAAAAAACTTCTTACGTGTGGAAGACATGGGGCAAGTTACAAATGCATTACACTGATTTTGGAGACGACATGCAGCATTTGATATACCACATTCAGAATCCACTTTGGAGGTTATTTAATCTGCCAGTAATATCCCTCAGTCAGACAGGAACAAATTTACCTTGATGTGTCTGTCTGTCATTCAAGTAACCTGTGATCCACTGAACATGTCTCTTTCTGAAACCCTCATTTTAATGCAATTCTGTCTGACTCGATATTCTTCTTACCTGACAGGTAGGAGATCAAATAATTGAAATCAATGGAGAAAGCACAAGGGACATGACACATGCCAGAGCAATAGAGCTAATCAAGTCTGGTGGCAGGAGAGTGCGACTGTTGTTGAAACGCGGAACAGGCCAGGTCCCAGAATATGGTGGGTTTTCATCTTTACGTTTTTCTATGTGCATGAACCTATATAAATTAATTATATTGTTTCTGAGTTAAGTAGAAATTGCAGATATTTATATATTGTAATGTTCTAGGGCACATTAAGTATGGACTTAAGTGCTTATCTGAGTACAAGTGGACTTAGTCATATGTTTGAGTGCTTCCTTGGCTCAAGACCATATATGTGTGTACATCACTGTTGTCTGCTGCCCTCCTGACACAGGCAGTGGGTTATAAGATGTACATTGGAAGAAGCACTTTGAACGCTTTAGGGGACATCTCTGAGCGTGCTGGGAGTTGCTGATTTGCCCATAAACTGTCCTTTTCTTCCTCTATTGGTACTTCTCTGCACATTTTGAATCACAGCAGATGATCTTGTTGCCATGCAATTCAGTTGTTTGTGTTTAAACTCAAAACATTAACAAGAATGTACTTCTTTCTTTGACAATCTCACCCATTATATTACCTCTGGCAATGCACACGGATGATCAAGTAGAAGCCAACTCTGACTAAAAAAGGAGACTTTTCTCATTGTGGTGAGAAAGCAGAATCCATTCTTCCATGTTTTTTTTCAGGGGGACTTCTGGGACTTTTTTGAGTATTTCAGAAAGTGTGAGTCATTTAGTACATATAGAAAATTTGTTTCACTACTGAAATGACAGGAAGTAAAAATAAATTATCCAAAGGTAATTCAAAGACAAAAAGCTCTTTTTTTAAATTGAAGTCAGAGCTTACTCTAAAGAACAGTGTGACAATGTCATACATTTATATAAGTTCTGTGATGTGCACAGCTGGGCCTGAAATCTCACAGGAAGAGGGTTTTTTAAATGAAAATTCCTTGACTTCCTTATGCTGGGAGGTCCAAAATTCTGTTAAACCTTTCTAATGTTACTTTTGAAGTGCCACCCTCATTTCCCATTAGAATATAAAATTGCAGTAGCATATGAAAATTCAAAGTAATACTTAGTCTTAAGTGTAGGTTCAGGTCAGGCTTTGTTACCAACATAAACTCATTACCTCCTCTGGAGATATTAAAGTGAGCTCCACTGAAAGTCAGCGCTTTGCCGGCTGCCAGTATACGTGCCAATTGCACCATTTTCATCTCTCAGCTAGAGCCAACTCTGTGGCTGAGGCAATACTCAGGATAGTGCTTGTTGCGTTTTTCCAGCTTTCAAGAGCTTTGGAATAAGGACAGCAAGGATGGGCAGCAGACCACTCATCTAGTGATAAAGTTAGTGAGTTATATACTTCAGTGAATAGGAATAAAGACAAAACAGCTTGCAGGGATTATGATAAAATGAAACATAGAATCATAGAATACCAGGTTGGAAGGGATCTCAAGGATCATCTGGTCCAACCTTTCTAGACTAGAGCACAGTCTAGACAAGATGGCCCAGCACCCTGTCCAGCTGGGTCTTGAAAGCATCCAGTGTAATGTTTAATTTAATTGGTACTAAGACATTTCATATCAGTTTTAACCAGTGCATAATCCTTTCAGGGAGACCTTCAGCAGTGATTCAGATCACCTCCAAAACTCTTTCATAGGGATAGGTGCACCGACTTTAATGACAGAACAAACAAACGTCCAGGACTGATACAGCAGTAGCAATCCTTCCCAAATAGCAGGACCATATACAAGCAGTTCTCTGGTTCCTCAGAAAACAATTTAATATAAGGGGGAGAGGGGTGTCACAGGAGCAAGAATCTATTACAGTTCAGACCCATTCCAAATATGACTTTCTTAAGATCCCAGTTCTGGATGGCCCTTAAACCTAGGCTTATGGGAGATCTAAAATAAATTTCTATGTTTATATAATCTTATAAATCTGTACCTTATTCCAGAGTCATAAGAAAATGTAAAAACAGTTCAGTGTAAACAACATTGTTTTGCGGAAAAAAAAAACCAAACTGAAAGTTGTAAATGTGCACAAGCCTTCCCTTGCCCAGAAGTACACGAGTGGGAAATACAGATAAACTACTGCAAACCCAGGCACGGTTTATACTGCTAATGGAAAGAAACAAGGTGACTTCACAGGACTGTTTAAAGCCATGTTCGCATTTGGCATTTGGAATGCTTAGCATTAATTGTGCAAAAACGCAGCTTAGTGTGATATAAAAGTTGCTACAAAGAAGCGCTGTTTAATCAGGTCGTTTTTCCCAGCTGCATCCTGGGATGTACGGGAGGAGAACTAAGTAGCTGTGCTTGAAAGCCGTGTTGTCCTACTGCACTGAAAAAACAGTAAAAGTGGTCAGGAATTACTTTGTAACATGCACACAACCTACAGAAAGCATCACAGCAAAGGCTAACATCCACATGTCTGCAGTTCCTAAGATGTGCATTACCCAGAGAAATGTTAGTGCTGTGCCCAGTCTCCGGGCAGAATGGAAGAAAATAAGAAGATGCCTGTTGAAATTAACTGATATTAAAATGTACCTTAGGTCATTTCCCAAAGCAATGAGAAATACTCTAAAAACAAACAGAAGGTGCACATCGGCAGCAGCCTGCTTAGGAAGTTAAAAACAGAACTTAACAAACAGAAATTATTAAAACTGGAGGGCATGTCTCAAGAAGGCCAGAATCTCAAGGGTAAGTCACCGTGCTGCAAAGAATGTCTGTCCGAGTATTAATGACAGAGACCCCCCAGAAAAGACTGTCCTTTCCAAGTAATGGAAAACTGAGTGCAGAGAAGATCGTGACAGTAAGCTTGAGGACAAAGTGGTCCTGAGGACAGTAGACAAACTAGTCAAGATTTAGTAGTTCGCTCTCCTTCACACCAGAATTGCACGGCTGAGATGTAACAAGACTAATTGTAACTTTTTTTACTGAAATAATCAGGCTTTTTAAATTTTTTTTTAGCAAGTACATGTCAGAAATATTTCTTATTCTCATCAGGGTCCAGCGCTGGAGACCATCAGTGGGAAATAAGACTTAGCTGAGTATAAAAAAGCAAGGCTGGAGGACTGAGTGGGTATCTGGATTGCAATGGCTGTGTGCAGCAGAAGTCTAGGGAGAAATAAAATCAGAGCAAGTGTGCAGGGACCTTTCCTGGATATTCTCTCTCAGTCTCTGACAAGCAAAATGGTCAGGGACTTCCCAAGTCAGTTGTAGTATCGCTGTGTTTAAAGACCTCTCCAGCAGCAGCAGCATTCAGATGCACAACATTAAAAAGAATGAAGCTTACCTAGAAGAACCTAAACCAACCAGCCAAACACCGTCACATTATTGTCTCTTAGTCTTCAACTTTTCGATTTTCCTTGTGCAATATAATCGATGCTTTTTAAATTCCAGAGCCATGTTTCTGCTAGTACAAAATATGGTGGTATATATTTAAGTGCAAGAAATATCGCTGTTTGAATGATGATGTGATTGACATCAGTAAAAGCAGTTTTCAGGAAAAAGCATCAATGGTAAGAGAGTGATCTGTGAAAGAAAAGAATGTGTATTGAAAAGAAGAAAGCACTCAGTGAGGAAACACGGAACAAGCTCCCGGGAGGATGTAAATCTCCTGAATGAGTTATGTCAGTTTATGCTGCCTGGAAATCTGTCCCTACAAGTACATCTCAGAAAATTCTGGCTGAGCTGAAGCACTATTCAAACCTAGGGGAAGAAATAAAACGTGTTGCAAATGCATCGTTTACCTCAACTCCAGCTGCTGATTTTGCTTGAAAACAAATGCTGCAGATCCCAGTGCTCTTCAGAGAGAGAAATCCCCTTGTAGTGCACACGGTACCATCAGAATATATGGGAAGGAGCACAGATATGATTAATGCTCCAAAACAGTAGCTGATTTCACAGCAGGGTGCAACAAAAGAAGCTTAGAAAACAGATGTTTTATCACCCCGCATCTTGGAACATGTTTGCTGAGCATAAGGGTAGCCGGAGGAACTGAGCTTCCGCTGAGGGTGAATTACCACAGCTCGTCCAAACCTGAAGAACATCAGCATCACGTTTCATAGGAAATAGTCTGCCACCCATGTTCTCCAAAGAACCAAGTCATAGCAAGAAATCATATTGCTGTGCAAGAAAGACTAGAAGTACTGCTGGGAATCCTAATCCCGAAAAGTACTTAATGCCCCAGGAGTCTGGCTGGAGGGAGCGCGAGGTTTCACAATTCCCACAGGACACAAAACCCACAGTCACCACTGTAGCACTGAGTGCTTCTCAGACCGGCATTAAATACAGTTTTAATAACACCACAGACCAAGATTTTTCTTGCAGTGGCTGCCTGATTCCCTGTGTATG